CTGCGAATCATCGTGGGAGCTGATCGATACGTCAGAAATGACGTCATCGCAAGGAACCTGAGAAGTTGAAAAGTTTATTAAACGCCTATCACAAAAAATGTATGACCAAGCTGAGAACGGGCTACACACACATCTGTGGCAACTTGACTTCCCTACATGTCCGTACCTCTGATGGTCGACCACTTCTTAGAAAGCTACCGTAATCACCTCTGCTTATTGGGGAATCAGAGTGCGTTTAGCGAGAAACAAAAATACAAATAAACGAAACATGCCTAAAACAGAAGAAATAAGGAGATAAAGCATACTTCTGCACGTTTACGTGCGATTCACAAGAACCCCGAGGGTCGCTACGCCTTTGAGAAGACTTCCCGATGAAAGAGGTTAGCCTCGAAACCTGATAACCGAGTTATTTAGCCCCTCAGTTATCGGATCGCAGACGACGCACTGAGCTGAGAGTTATAATAATTTGTAGTTCACAAAAGGCCGAAACGAAGAAAGCCAATAAAAATAAGAAAAGGAATACTCGAAGAATAAAACCGGAAGAATCTTGTAAAAATTTAGTGATAGAATTAGTGCTAGTTTTTGAAGGGTTCTTTGCGTCCGACTTCAGCGTAAACGTTCCGATCGGCGTCTGAACGCCAGGCACAGCGTCAGCGGTCAATACATGTCTTAGCAATGGACGACGTCTAGACTTTCGATCAAACAACAGTTAAGTAGCTGACAGTGCCCACGTGTGGTTGTGTGTGATATTTGTACATAAAATGGATATAAATTCAATACTTTTCGCGGCGCTTGTGTTACTTGAAGAAGAGACACAAGACGACGTATACGAAGAAAAATAAAGGCAACAAGGCACCGATTATTTATGAAGAGAAATGAAGAAGGATGTTTCCAGCTATTATAATGAAACACTTAAAAAACAGCAATTCTAAATTTACTGAATATTTTCTTATTAATCAAGAACAATTTAAACATAATAATAAATCAAGAACTCGTCTTTTTTTTATAAAATTTTGTCATTTTGCACTGACGCTAGACACGACCTTTACGCTGCAATGGTTCGAAATAACTAGAGACGCAGCGCAAAGCGTCTTAACGCCGCCTACGACGTCCATACGCCGACATCAGCATTACACAACAGTACATTTCTGTAGTAAGCATCGTAACGCGGCGTACGGCGTGACGCTGTAAGCGGCCGATGGCGTTTATAGGAGACCACCGCCTTAACCAGTGCCGTCGAACCGCCGGCTGCTTTATCGTTTAAATCATTAGTACGTGTTTTATTGGCATCATTGACTTTATGCATCAGTCGCAACCCAACGAAGGTTGACCCACCCGGAATCTATAGGTGTAAGACATCAGCGACTCGCAAGTACTTTCAAACCATTTACTTCAGGTATCGCTCGTCCGGCACAGTATTTCTACAGAAGATCAATATTTTATCGATGTACAATGAAACCTGTTTAAAACTTTGAAATAAAATATATCATACGTGGTAGAGCCATGCTGCAGTTGTATTAATAGTATAATTGTATCACGAATGGGTCGGCTCGACCGGGGAAGGACCTCGCTCTCACAGAATACCAGCGTAAAATAGAAGCTTAATGCTGCTGTGTTTCGTATGGTGAGTGGAGAGAACCTTTTAACTGGAAACGAGGCATTCCATTTTAGTCCTCATGGGTGACAACGCATCTGCATTTTGATTCGTAATCGAGGATAGATGTAGATGTCTATGGGCTACAGCAACCACTTAAAATCAGGTGGTCTGTGCTTGTCACCCTATCCTTTAAAAAACTAAATACAGTCAGTCATCGCGTTTGATGTTGTCGGTAAAGCCGACATAAACAATAAATTGCTAGGGTTGTCAGAACGGGTAGTAATATAAAATATATAAATGATGTAGATGTTTATGGGCCACAGCAACCAATTACCATCAGGTGGACTGTGTGCTCGTTTGCCACCGTATGCTATAATATATATATATATATATATATATATATATATATATATATATATATATAACATGTAAATCGATTTTGACGATTCGGTTGAAAATTTTTTTTTTTCAAACGTTGAGCTAAGCTCGGACACCAAGTTCTTAAAATAAAATAGTAAAAAAATATGAATAAGTTTATATATATATATATATATATATATATATATATATATATATATATATATATATATATATATATATATATATATATATATAACATGTAAATCGATTTTGACGATTCGGTTGAAAATTTTTTTTTCAAACGTTGAGCTAAGCTTGGACACCAAGTTCTTAAAATAAAATAGTAAAAAAATATGAATAAGTTTTTCTTACTTACCTAGACGGTCTTGGAACGGGAATAGGGACTAGCTGAGTATCAGATTCTGAAAATACGAAAAATATTTCAGTATTAATATTCATTGTTACATAAATATATTTTTATTATATATATCCGACACTAATTGAAAGCAAATTATTATATAAATCAAAAACCCAAGTCCAGTTATCTATTATTATATAATAAAATTACACATTAGTTAACTTGCGACTTTTGTCTTATAATCCAATGATGAAGTTCACTCACGGATACAAACTATAGTACAGTAAAAATAGACTTTTTTTTGCTCAACTTTGCACTAAATTTCCGATCCAATTTTTATTTTTTTAAGGTTTAGGATCACTTACTGAGCATAAAATCACAAAATGCTGACAGATCCAGGTGGCGCTTCAAGCGCCATCTTGAAAAAACGTTTTCAGCCGATATCTCGGAAACTATGCACTTTAAGGCAAAAGTTATAGAAACTATTATTGTAGAGAATAAAATTTCGCATCTTTTGTTTCCAGTAAACTTTTTTTAAAACTTACCGTTTACGATTTATGGCCCATTTAATGAACCGATTTTTCTATCGCGGCAATTTATTTTAAAAATCAGTTTGTTCTCTACAACTTCTATTTAAAACTTTTTTTTATAATGTCCATACTTTTTGCGTTATAAGATGTTTAATGTAGAAATGCCGACGCTCGGCGTGTGACGCGGCAGCATTATAGCATTTGAACAATATTGACTATAATTACTAACCATTTTTAGTTGAGCAAAATATTTGTTGTACCATTATATTCTATGCGTATCTTGAAATTTTCGACTTTACGCCCGGTAGTCCAACTAAACTTTAAATTCTATTTTTACTGGCCTACTAGGTTGGAACTAAAATGACGCAAAGTTAAAAATCATATTACCCATTTTAAAGTGACAATTAAACAAACGCTAAATTAGTTTAAATACTCAAATTCTCAACAGGGATTCATAGACTCAACAGGGTCGCTTTTTAAGCACTTAGACAAACTTTTTAGTAACAGTAAAATAAGGAGAATTGGGTGTCAAAGTTACAATTAGGTTTTACTACCACTTTGTTCAAGCTCTTCCGTCGGCATAGGACACGGTTCCACTGGCTTCGTTGGAGGCAGTCTAAAAACGCATTTTCTGTAAAGACATAATTGTATTATGTTAGATGATCCCATTGGTGGACAAAAAAAAACCAGATAGAAAGTAATGCCGTAAAATGTATAATTAATTTTTCCAAACTGTTATGGCACCTTCTCTGGCTAGAAGTCTATCTAGGATGACCATGACTAAACTCTTTCTGTCGCCATAAGCAATATACCCACTTATGTGTTCTAGTTTGGATGATAAGAGAGACAGTATAATTATAGGCTCTACTCACATAGAGTTTTATATTGTAAATGAGTACATAACCGAAGAACAAAATAAAAGCACAATATATATTAAAGTTAAATTCGATATTATCTATAGTTGCATCACTTTTTACTATATATACAATAGCGTGGGTACTCTTTGAGCAAGAGTTAATAGACTAGATTTCTCTGGGCTGCAAGAAATTTGAAGAATAGGCTCTTAATAATTTATTGTTGAACACTAATGTGGAACTTTTATTTTAAGTATATAAGATTAGAAGGATTGTGGCTATTACTTATAACTAAGATATTTTATTTTTTGTTCGTTTAATTTACTTTATGTCTAACGGCAGTAGAACTGGAAACTGACAGTGATTTGAGAAGGTTCGTAAGGTCCTAAAATAAATATTTTATGAAAATAATCTAGGAACATGGCAGTATAATAATAATATAATAATAATATTCCACAACTATCACACAACGCCATCTAGTCCCAAGCTAAGCAGAGCTTGTGTTATGGGTACTAGACAACTGATAAACATACTTATATATTTTTAAATACATAAATATTATAGATAAATCAGATAAAGAAGAAAAAACAGAACAAATGATCGTGCTCATCACACAAACATTTGTCCTGGGTGGGATTCGAACCCACGACCTCCGGCTTAGCAGTCAGGGTCACTAACCACTAGACCAACAGGCCTGTCAAAAGGCCTGGCAGTGACAGATGCTGGTAGTATCGTAAAAACAATTTGCTCTAGTCATAATCCTGAGAGAAAACAGAGGAATACGTTCGAAACGGCACCCACATATCCTCTTACTTACGTACCTATTTTGAAATGACATGTTAGTCCTCAGGCCTTTGCCTTTTTTGTTTACGGGGTACTGTACTCCTTTTTTAATATTTTTAAGTGAAAATTCCGTTTAGTTTGCAACTATTTAAAGAAAAATTTTTTTTATAAAATTGAGAGTGATAAACAAGCAATACAGTCAACATCAAGTGATGCTATGGCCATTAGACAACCTCGTACATCTATAATCGTCTGAGAATCAAAACTAAGGACTAATTTTGTAATGGTTCAACACCTGTATAACTGGTTATATACACTCACCACCAGTAACACAACACAGTACTGTGCAGCTACTTCACTCTAGTATTCTGTGAGAGCATGGTACTTTCCTGTTCAAGTCTCCATTCGAGCAGCTGTAATACAGCTGTAGCGTTGTAGTTTAACCACGTAAATACTAAATCTTATATTATATATTTTACGCTTTACGTCTTACCCTACGTTTGATAAAAACTACTTACGGTGACATTAGACTCTTCCCGTAAGCTTCATCATAAAAATTTTTAATCGACTGATCATCGAAGTCGTCCTGCTCTTCTACTTGTGGCTCAAATTCGTTGTCTTCATAGTCAGACGGATATTCATCATAAACAGGTGCACAACGGTCTTTCACAATAGTGGTACATTCATCACTAGGTGGCTGCGGGGTTTCTTTGAACACTGATTGACGTGGTTCTGTATCTAACAAAATAAAATACATACTATGATAACGAGTTATTAGATAGTATAAACCAACTATAAAATACCATTGGGTCTGGTTGAAATTTATCGAGGAACACTGTGGAAGTTATTCTTTCGGAGAAAAAATAGCAAATGGTGAAAAAATACATAAAATGGACATCAACGTGTAATATTCGAGATATTGTGTATATATTTTTTGTTCACAATTATATCAAATAAATAAACGGTTAAGATTCTCGTCTCGAGCTTCCTGCTTTATTGAAGTCTGATTGTATCGTAGAAGCATAATGATTTCTTTTAGGTTTATGCGAACACTGCACACTAAAATAAAACTAAATTTTACGTTTTATATCACGTATATTAACTTACTTAATATTCCTAACGTCTCGATTACGTTACAAATTGAAATTATTAATATTACGATTAAACCACGAATTAATAATTTTAATCTGGTGTTAGCCGCGGTTAACTATGATATTATAACGTCGAACACCTCAGTTCATCCGATCCTGCGGTGACTGACGCCGGTGTTCCTCAAGGGTCCGTTTTCTCCGCAACTCTCTTCCTGCTGCATATTGTTACTTTAAATACACCTTTTACACCGAAACATCCAGAATATTCCAGTAGATACGGGCGCCGACCGACCAGACGCAGAAAGTTCGAGTGTGGGGCTTCTAGAAAGCTTAATTCTTCTGTTCGATACTAGATGGCGCTGTTGGTCGAAAGTCATGATTGATACTTTCTAGGAAGCCCTCCTCGCTCTGGTCCCCGACACTAGATGGCGCTAGTGCCAGGTACCTGACGTCAACTTAGGCGCGCAACAATATTAATGATCTGCTTGTGCCAGGTATATCTATGGGCATGCAGACGATAGCACAGTTGTGGAGAGATACGAAGTACACAGGCCAGTCGGGATCAAATCCAATCCGAATGAGAGGCTATGGTTAAGTGTCTGAATCTCACACTATACGCAGTCTCCGAATGAGGCGATGCCAATCTCGTGAGATTCAACGCCTCCAAAACACAAGCGTATATTTTCACCGCTAAAAGGAGCCTGCCCACCCAGGCTTCCTCTTTCCGGAATGTATCCTTGGAGTACACTGATCGCCTTCAGTTGAGAGACGTGCTAGGAAGCTCATTGGTGACCTTAATTTAGTCGAAACCAACCTTTTTAGTCTCGAGAACAGGCGCAGAGTACCCATCCTATCGGTATTATATAGGATGCATTTTGGTGAGTGTGCGCAGGAATTCCATGCTTTAATTCCTCCCTCTCCTTTCCACGATCGGATGACCAGTTGGTAAGCGGGTTTTCACCCCCTTTGTTGTCAATGTTTCACACATTAGAATCAAACGGTTTGCTTTTTTATGCGTACAGCAAAGGAGTGGGATAATTTGCCGGCGTCTATCTTTCCGTTCGAATACAATCTGGACGTCTTCAAGGCAACAGTGAATAGGCTTTTGGTACGCTAAAACAGTGCGATTTACCATCTGTGGCTGCATCACCACTTACCACCAGGTGCAATTGTGGTCAAGTACTGCCTTATAATAAGTTAAAAAAGTCGTTCCGGTGACCATGGGTGCTGTAAAGCGCTCGAGACGTTAGGAATATAAAACAGTTATTGTACGCGATAAAATCTATAAAAACTAGTTTTATTTATTCGTGAAAGTATGTTACGTATATACCTAAATTTCACATGGTCAAACAGCCAGTCGGGAATAAATATTTATGCAGGCTATACAAACGAAGCAAAAAAAGAATCTCTAACTTGATCTTAGATGTGAGGCTTATACAATATTAAGTTAGGCTGGGAAATTATTTAATACAAGTCGATTTTAGTGGTGCAATAACTAAAATAAGGATAAATGTACCAATAATGCCTTTGTCGTGTTCTGATACTTAATCTAAGTTCGTTTTAGATTTTCGTAAACAGTTAATATGTCAATGTAATCTACAGTAAACTGAAACATTTACACCATCTTTTAAACAATTAAGAGTATTAACTCTTAATTCACTATATATTTCAGAGGTGTCCATAATCGTAAAAATGAACTTTCATCTTTTTGAACATCATATTAGTATGCGACACAGAAAATCTGCTCGATTGCAAGTAAAACATCGTTATTTAACAAAGGCGTATTTTTTATAGCGGCGAAATATATAATAAAATACCCAAAAAAATCAAATATATAAAAATGTAAAAAATCTTACAAAAAAACTTGACAGTGTCCTAATTAACAAAACCTATACATTAAATGATTTTTTTTTTGATATACAGTGTTCTTCTACATAATAATATTGAATTGAAAAAATCAAGGGATCAACCTTTAAATAAATAACTTATCTTTAACTATACTTAATTTTATTATATTTTATATGATATTTTATTTATGTTTGAAATAATGCATCGTCATTATTTAAAAATGTAATCAATTTGCATAGTAATTATTCAATATTTTTCTCCAATTCTGTATCCACTAATGTTTTATTTATGTTTTATTTGCATTTCCTGCAGTTACTTTTAGGTACATTGAAAGACGATCAAATTCTTAAAATCTGATGTTTTAACGCGTTTTAATTCATCATAAATAAAAATGAAGTGGTAGGTATATGTAATAGGGGAACGCTAGCGTTTTTTCTGTGTTTGATACAAGATTCATTGTGTGATAAATGACAAGGAATATGCAGTGACAGGAACGGAAGCATATTTAATTACTTTAACTGTAAAAGTGAACATTCGTATTGCAAACTTGGAAAGTCTTGGCTTCAAATCTGACATTCAACTATTGCAGTAAACCATTTCTTATTAAAAGCATTTCAAGCTTACTTGGAAAATCGGGATATTGATAGCTTGGTTGTGTAATCTCGTTTCGTATTACTTATGTTAATACTATAAAAGATATTAAATCCTATTCCATGTAAGGCGAGAATGCCGTAGTTGCCATGCTTGGCAAGCGGTTTGGAAACCGCAGCTTTTTATTTTTATTAAGATGTTATTATCCTAGATATTGGAAAAAGGTTCCTGAGTGGCAGCCTTGTACGGCTAGGCGTCGGACAACCCCACACTGGATGGAGTGACGTGATCTACCTGATGGAACACACATGCAGTTAATGAATGCAGGTGGCTCAGGACCGTACTTTGTATCATCTATGGGGGAGGCCTACGTTTAGCAGTGGACTTGTGATAGGCTGTAGCGAGTGATAGAATATAATATAATAATTTTTATTCATTATGGATTACATTTAAATATTATGAAAACATTTAGACACAGCATGGCAACAATCACCTCATTCTCAAGGTGTGTTATCAATAATGTTTTCTTTAATAGTATTATAACCACAGAAATTAGAAAAATCTTTAACCTCTTAAACTATTTCTAGCTGGAGCGCATGGCGCAAGTGGCCCTTGTTTTACATCAGGTTCAGCTGGTAACGTTGGATCTTCTGGAGAGTTGTCTTCATTATGTGACGGTTTGAAGACGTACGGCCTCGTGTGGCTGTCGCGTCTACTGCCGCTGTTTAAAGTGTAACAGTAAATCAGGCAAATTCTTTCTAAAATAGAAGTTAAATAAATTTAAATGAAATATAGTTTTATCTTCGATGTAAGAAATTAAAATATAGTTTGTCGTCATTTTTTTTTCAAATATGCTATCACTTCATAGGAGATCCCTCTGATCAGAGAGGTCATGTCCATAACTGCCTTGTTGGTCTAGTTGGTAGTAAACGCGGTTGTCGATCATGAGTTCGAAGCCCGGGTCGGGTCAAAATCAGTTATTGGGTTTTTTTGATAAGAAATTCTCAAAAACAGCCCAGAGTGAGGAAACCGATAGTGATTCACTCTCGTGGCTTGGAGAGCATATAAAGCTGTTGGTCCTAGTCCTGGTCTCTGTCCAGTCGTATCGGATAACCGCTCCATCGGAACATGTGAGTGAAGGTATAGAGAGTGCACCCGTGCTTACGTATAAACTCTGGCACTATAATCCTGTCCTGCGCAAATAGCTTGTCTCCGTTGAGTCTGGTCGCCGTGATTCTAAATTCGACCTGGAGAATATTAACGGAATACTAATAAAAGGGGAAAATACGTTTATATTCAAAGCTCATCAGTTATATGGCCCAGATGTTCAGCAGTAGACTTTCACGGACTGATTATAAAGGAGAAAAATCTTTCAAAGCATTTGTAGCTTTAAAAGTCTTCTTGGACTCTTTACAGCGAGAGTTAAAATAAAGTGCTTTGGTTTTGCTAACTGTTTTCATTATTTGTATTTGGTTATTATTTTCAACATCTAAGAAGTGGTAAGAACCGTTTTCCTGCCTAGAATTCCGTCTCAGTTGGTATCATCCTCTCTTACCTAGTTCTGCCGTACTGATGTGTTCTAGTCTGAAGGATATAAAGAACCAGTATATTACTGCTGTGAGGCATTTCGTCTTAGTCCTCAGTAGTGACACATCTTTAACCTTCTTCAATTGAAATTGATTACAGGTATCCGTGGACTGCAGTGACTACTTACTATCGGATAAGTACTATACTTATATACTATAATTTTAATTTAGTTTGATACTTTTTAGAGTTTATTAAGAAGTTTATTTTAATCTTCTTTAAAAATATAATATAGAGTATTGTTAAATTATTACTTCTTTAAAATAATTTCAGGTTTATATTTCAATTAATAATGTAAATAATTAAATATTATTAACTTACATTGACACTTTCCTTGGTGTGAAGGTCGGTGCTAAAGGAGAACCTTGAAAAAAATAATGAAATAATAGTCCATTGACACTGTCTTCGATTTGATTTTCGAAATATGTTTTATACAATCACTAAGATGGAATTAAACGCTACAATAGATATAAGAAATGTATATAGCACAATGAAAGTTCTGCGCTCCTGGTCGCTCATAAGTCATAAGTGTTTGAATTTCCAATTTTATATTTTAAAAAATATTAAAAACTTATAAAATATTGATAAAAATAATTTTTTGGCGGAAAGTCACGTGTCAATCTACACGAAGATAACGCGAATAAATTTTACGGTGATTATTATGATCTTATAAATTCACTCTCTACCCAAGATTGCACTGCTCGTCTTCAAAATACTTTTGGGAGCACTGACCTCTATATATACAAGTATGCTGGACTGGTTATGCCCTACAAAATGTTTATGCCGATTTGAAGCGCCACCATAGTTCATATCGGGAACTAAAATTGACATATTATGTTAATGTCTGTTGTGTTGTTTAAATCGCATTTCTGTATTTTAAAGGAAAAAATGAAAGTGTTTTATGTAGTTTGAATATGTTTGTTTTTAATAAGAATCATCATCATCATCATTACAGCCCTTCACAAGTCTACTGCCGAACATAGGCCTCCCCCAAGTAATGCCACAAAGCACGGTCCTGAGCCACCTGCATCCATCGACTTACTGTATGTCTTACCAGGTGGTCACTCCATCTACTGGAGAGTCGCCCTACACTTCGCCTACCGGTATGAGGCTGCCACTCGAGAACCCTTATATAGCTCAAAGAACCGGGTATGCGTTATTTGTAAAAATCGTTACCAAAAAGAAAGTGGGATAACAAGCACAAGTAAGTGAATTTACAGCCAAAAATCATTAAGTTGACAAAGTTTTACCGCAATCTGAAATCTTTGCTTTTTATAATACTAAAACTGAACGAACGGTTGACAATAAACTCTTTTAGAAATTGTTTTTATTTTTATTTTGTATAGTTACTTATACCAATTGAATATTTTCCAGTATTAATTCAATATTCAAGCCACGCAAATGAACCAACATACCCAATGTTTAAGCCCGGAGCAAAATGCGTTCCGTAGTTACAAATAAAAACGTAGATCAGTAGACCAACACAGCGTCGATCTTGGTTTTATATGAGGTATAAAGCTTGCTTCTAATGCCTAAGTATTAATTGATATTATTATTTTTATTGTATGACATTTTATTAATATGATACATAAATAGAATGGACGTTACGGATAGGCCTGGGTATAGTATTTTTATCTGTATATTTCATCACACTGTCTTATTTCTCTTATTAATTCCGTGGACGTTCACTTCTGCTGTCAGCGCCAAAATGGCGAAAATCAAATCGCCTCATTATGTCATAGCCAGTCCATATATAGAGATCAATGTTTGGGAGGGAAGCACATCGCTTGAGCACCGTAAGGCATTGGTACATAGAATTTGATCGTGACCATATTTCTCTCCATGATGAAATTCGTGGAGGTCGACCCTCAACTGCAATAATTGAGAAAAATGTGGGAATGGTATCAGGCGATTAACTGAAGAAAACTGATCGTACCTTTGATTATTATGATGATATTCGAGGACATTTGGGTATTGATATAAGCCAAATTTATATCAACATTTAATAGTTAGAAAACTTTGTTGCCGATGGTTTCGTCATGAATTTACCTCAGAACAAGAACAGGCTTGAGTTGATTGGTGTAAAAAATTGTTGTTAAAGTACGATCACGTATGTTTAAATGCACTGTATAACATTGTCACACATAGATAATTTGATAGAAAGAAAATCTTCTGTGTGGGTGTTCGAAGGCGATAACAAACTAACAAATTTAAGGCAGGAAAGAAGCGTGGGCAAAAAATATTGTACGATTCTATTTGATAATCAAAAGAAAATTTATGTTAAGTAATAAGAGTACATTAACCATTTGTTTGCCCAGTGTCTTTGAAAAGGTTAGGGAAAAAGATGAAGAAGTCACATTTTATAGCACTGTAATATTGGATGGTGGCAATGAGAAAGAGACGTGTTGTTCTTTTTATGACTTTAATTAGACTACCTACTCTCTATTATGAACTTAACTCTAATATATGCCAATTATCGTGGGACCTATACTACAGCACTATGACAAAGCCTCAAGACATACCGCGAACAAGACAAAGTCATTTTTGGGTTCCGTAAATGTGAAGCTCGTGACCATCCCACAAACAGTCGAGAACTCGCACGATACGATTTATTTATCTTTCCAAAAAAAAAAAAAATGGTTGTCTGTAAAGTCGGTTTACGGAAGATAGTTTGTTAGTTTGCGCTAGCCGAACGCTCAAGCCAATCGTGCCTTTTGCTCGTTCGTGCCACGCTCTCGCTCCGATCGTGCACGGCTCGGCTGGAGCGTAACTTTATCAGACGTTGTCATGTCAAATTCAAAGATTTGATGAGAGGTTTTACATTTACGGAGCCAGAAATGACCGTGATGATAGCTTTCACCACTTCGCAAAAGACATGCCCCCAAATCAATCGTTCTTATGTTTGCAAAAATGATTTGATCGAATGAAATATGTTTAAAAAGTAACGGAGAAACTTTTGACATCAGTAAACATAATAGTTTACATATAAATTGATTTACTTATGACTTATGAAAAACTTTCAGTGTACCCCAGGTAAAAGCACTAATAATTTAATGTTAATACATTACATTAGTATAGGTAATATATCGTTGTAAGTTTACTCATTATGAGTGGTCAAGATTAATGTTTTTTTAAATAATATATTAGTATAAAGAAATTAAACTTCGTCTTACTGTATTCAAGTTTCTTCTTAGGTTGACCTTGTATTATCTCTGGCATATGACTTCCGTACTCCGAAGGTCGGAACACTGTCTGCACGAGTGTACCAGGGCCAACGCTATCGTGCCAATACAAAGGACAAAGTTAGTGGTTATTTACTTTTGAGAGAATGTTTGTCTGGGGAGAGTTTATTTATGGAACTTCTAATAGAAATACAGGTATTTCTGAAACGCCTTTAAATATAAAATGTGTGCCAGTGTTTTTTTACAATAAAACAATGAGAAATGTGTTTGTGAACGCTGATCGAGTCGGATGGGGCTCTCTGGTACCTACCAGGAGACTTGTGAAGGGTGAGGAAATATCACAATCATATTATAGCCAAATCTTCAAAACTTCTATAAAATTATCATTTTCGTAATAGTAAAGTTAATTAATAGTAATTGAAACTGCAATTTTTGTCAGAGTATGCCGAGACCTTTTTATACATGAAGGGGTAATAAACGAACACACAGACCAACGGTAAGGGGTTTCTGTATATTCGTACACATCATATGCACATGCATCGTCTTAGGACTGAAATGGTATATTTCACTTTTAATAAAATAGTTAAATACTGATTTACCAACCATCAGCATCATTAAAGCCTTTCACAAGCCGTTGCTGAACATAGGCCTCCCCCAAGGATTGCCACAAGACACGATAAATTTACCCCAAATAGCATAAATTTACCGTTAAATTTCAATTGATATGTAATTATTAGACCATAAATCCACCGATTGTCATATTGATCAGAATAGTCCAATTTCGAGTCGAAAAATTATGTATTTTAACTATAAGCTATAAAAATTATTAAAAATCAAAAAAGAGATAAATTTACCTAATTCAGGGATTTAATGTTTTGCGAATATGTCAATGAAAAAAAAAACTTGAATAAACACGTTTAAAACTACCATCTTAAGGATCTTTTACTCATTTATTTGTAAAATACTTACTTGGATTGCACTGTAGAGTTATGTGTTATTGGAACTTTAACTGAAAATAAAAAAAAAACAGAAAAAACTCATTTTTACAGATTTCAAGCAAAGAAAAAGGAAAAAATGAAATCAACTTAAAAAAACTTATACAAAAGGTTTTTAATTTATTATTTTAAGAACTCGTGGTGTTTTAATACTGATAATAAAGCACTACTTCGCTTTTATTTTGAGGTGTGCTAAGGGAATGAGGAAATTAAAACTTACGTCGATCGTTTTTATGAAGAAAGGATTGTGACATTTCTACGGCTTGGTTAACTCTTTCCACTTGGAGATGCTGTTCAGTCCGAGCAGGACCTTCATTGGATGCAGTTTTCTTGATACTGTCGTTAAGAAATATTATTTTTCTAAAACCGTTGACTTTTTTTAATATGAGGAAAAAAGGGTGTAATAGTTAGTACCAAGCGTACCAACCGTACTCATCACGATATCTCTTAAACTATAAACCCGATTAACTTGAAATTTAGTACAGTTACACATTTCACAATGTAGACGCTCACTAAGAACGGATTTTTCGATAATCCCATCAAAAAAGTTCTTGATATTTTTATAGTTATTATCGCCAATTATCGTGCGCCCAGCGAAGCGAGCGAGTATCGGCTAGTTCGTTTATACTTGCTTACAACTAGGCTGTATGTGGTTTACGTACTTATTATTAGTAAGAAAAAGTATCCATACATGCCACACAAATAATTAGCCACACAAGTTTAAATATTTAAGTATAAACAGATCAATATAATTATATAGGTATAACAAATCGAAATGTTTAATTTTTGTAATCAATTTTCTTTAATGTTATATCTACTGGATGTAAATAAAATCCATCGTGAGGCTGTTGCTCGGGGGTCAAGTTCTTTAAAAGATAAGTTTTCTATTTTTTTTATAGAAGAGGGGGAAACGAGTTAGCGGAAGGGCTTATAAAAGAAAATTTACAGTTTTTATGATATATAGGCTAGTTTTTATTTCATAAATTATGCTTAACGTTACGTTTTCTGAATCAAGCCTAAAATATTGTTACTTTTTTACACTACAATTTAAGTGCTTGGATATTAGAACTTGCCAAGTTACAAATTGAAAAGAAAAGAACGCAAGAAACATCAATTACAGAACTTTGTAGTTACCCACAACTTCATTTTAATGAACTGCTAGGCAACCGTTAAGATACCAACTAAATTCCAAACTTATCTGACAAATCATCGTATGTAGTCTATTTTGACTATAGGCAAAATACTAAAACGAAGAACTTACATTGGTGAACAGTTTTGGTCTATCGTAGTCTGCGTATTAATAGCTGAAACAAAAATATTGATCACGTTCTTTTAGAAAAATTCCTTTACCTAGACATGTCGCCAGTATGTAAGTACTACGTCTCGTGTAGTTTATTCGTCAAACTATCTGAGTACTGAATCTGGGGTCCTATAAGCTCGAATTCCAAAGATGGGGTCGTTAAGAACAATTCTGATGACGTTGAAATCGAGGTCATCGCGCCATAAGCAGTTAAACATATAACCACGGATTGGGTTTGGTGTGAAGACTTTTTTTGACGTTAACATTAACACCTAGTACTAAAACATTCAAGCCACGCCATTTGACTTCACCGTTTTTGTATAGGATTGGTTGAAAAACGAGCACACAGTCCACCTGATGGGAAGTGGTTGCTGCGGCCCATAGACATCTTACAGCTATCCTCGATTACAAATCGAAATGCAGATGCATTGTCACCTTAGAGCACTAAGATGGAATGCCTCGTTTCAAGTAAAAGGATCTCCGGTTCTCTACACTCACCATACGAAACACTGCATCATAAAACTACTATTTTACATTGGTATTCAGTGAGAGCGTGGTCCTTCCCCGATCAAGCTGACCCATTCGTGTTACAACTATACGACTCGTACTAATACAACTGCAGCATGGCTCTACCACGTATGAATTCGCCGTAGTCAAAAGCTTATTAGCACTACGCTGTCGAACCGTTTAAATAAAAACCGGAATTTTACAGTATACATTTGGGAGTAGGAATTGCATTACTCCATTACATTATCAGACCATCAGACGCTCGCCTAGTCTATACCCTTTGTTTGCTTCGTCATTCATAATGCTTCAATTACTCCAGTGAGAGTGGAGTAATCTGCCAGCGTCTATATTTCCATCGGACTATAATGAGGAGAATCTGTAAGGCTTTTATTAAGCTAAGTCAGTAATACTTCATAAAAATCTTACCAAGTTCCCGTCGCTGGTTAGTCTGGGACGCCTCTACCCCACTTTGGTATACAGGCGTTGTATTTTGCTGTTCGATGGTTTCCTTTTGTGTTCTTTTGTATTGAGACTGTAGCATGAACTCTCCAGTATCACAAGCGCAGTCCCTAATACAGAACACTCTTATAATCATTTCATTTATTCATTACAGCCCTTCACAAGTCCGCTGCTGAACAAAGGCCTCCCCTAGGAATGCCACAAAGCACGGTCATGAACCACCTGCATCGACTTCATCTTTTAACGGGTCATCACACACGAGGTTGCCATTCCAGAACCTTTCTTTCCCAACGGTGTTCTTCTAGCTATATGGCGGGCCCATTGCCACTGCCCACTGAATATATATTTTTTATAGGAGAGGGGGCAAACGAGCTCACCTGATGGTAAGTGATTACCGTCAGCGATGACCAACTACAACATCAGGGGAATTGCAGATTCATTGCCGGCCTTTTGAAAAGAAGTAACCTCTTTTTTTGAAGTTCCCTAAGCCGTATCGGTCCGGAAAAATCTCTGGCGGTAGTCGATTCCATAAGAAAGTTGTGCGAGGAAGAAAACTTCTTTTAACTTCGCACAGTAGTGGACTTCTAGTCATCCAGGTGGTGTGGATGGTAACTCGAGTTTTGTCGCGATGTGGGCCTGGAATTAGTCCGAACAATTTCTCAGAGTACTCCTCGTGGTAAATGCGGTAAAAAACGCAAATAGATGCAACATCTCTTCGCAGTGCCAGTGAGTCAAGTAAAGAGCTGGGTCGCCGCCGTTTGGAACAGCTCTGCGCTGGATGCGATCAAATGGAAAGAGCTGGCACTGGGGAGCCCCAGCCCAGAGATGGGAACAGTATTCCACGTGCGGCCAAACTTGCGCCATGTAAAGTTGCAGGTGGTGTGAAGGCATGAAATACTGTCCCGCTCTGCTGAGCACGCCAAGCTTTTTTAGAGGCCAATTTAGCCTTCTCTTCTAACGTCACTCAATTTATTGGCACGGCCGGTGTATCAAGCATCACCAGTGCTGTCGTCTGCATAGCAATGAATGTTAACCAACACACTATTTATATATATATATACATATATACATAAATCGACGGGTAGGCAGATAATACAGACTTCCATTTGGCACGATCCTGACACACACCTCTCTCGCCTCCTTCACATCCATATACCTACGCACTTCACAATAGAGTGTATGTGTTAATGAATGAGGCCCATTTACTCTATTTCCTGCATTACACAACACACACACACACGCACACGCGCACGCGCACACGCACACACACACACACACACACACACACACACACACACACACACACACTCATACACACACACACTCACACACACACTCACACACACACGCACACACACTCACACACACACACACACACACACACACATACACACACACACACATATATATATATATATATATATATATATATATATATATATATATATATATATATATATTCATCATCATCATCATCATCACAGCCCTTCACAAGTCCACTGCTGAACATAGGCCTCCCCCAAGTAATGCCACAAAGCACGGTCCTGAGCCACCTGCATCCATCGACTTCCTGCATATCTTACCAGGTCGTCACTCCATCTAGTGGGGGGTCGCCCTACACTACGCCTACCGGTACGAGGCTGCCACTCGAGAACCTTTCTTCCCCATCGGTTATCGGTTCTTCGAGCTATATGGCCGGCCCATTGCCACTTCAGCTTACTAATCCGTTGGGCTATGTCGGTCAATCTGGTTTTACTGCGGATATCCTCATTTCTGAGTCTATCACGCAGAGAAACTCCGAGCATAGCCCTCTCCATAGCTCGCTGAGCGACCTTGAGCGTCCTCATACGGCCAGCAGTGAAGGACCACGTCTCTGATCCGTAAGTCATCACTGGCAACACGCACTGGTTGTACACTTTAGTTTTCAGAGATTGAGGTATACCTGACGAGAAGATATGTCGTAATTTCCCGAACGCTGCCCAGCCGAGTTGAATCCGTCGATTGACCTCTCGGTCGAAGTTGGACTTACCTAGTCGGACTATTTGTCCCAGGTAAACGTACTCGTCAACAACTTCGAGCATAGTGCTCCCAACAACTACCGGCATAGGTGTGACATGGACATTAAACATAATCTTTGTTTTGTCCATGTTCATCTTAAGACCTATCCGTTGGGAGGCACTATTGAGGTCATTGAGCATAGTGCTTAAGTCCTCCAGCGATTCTGCCATAAGGACTATATCGTCGGCAAATCGAAGGTGAGTGATGTACTCGCCATTGATGTTAATACCGTATCCTTTCCAGTCCAGTAGCTTGAAAACGTCTTCCAAAGCAGCGGTGAAGAGTTTCGGGGATATAACGTCACCCTGTCTTACACCTCTCTGCAGTTGGATAGGTTTCGAGCTCTGGTTCTGTACTCGGATAGCCATCGTAGCCCTACTGTACAAACACTTCAGCACTTCAATATACCGACAGTCAACTTGGCACCGCTGAAGGGACTGCAGCACCGCCCAAATTTCGACGGAATCAAAGGCTTTCTCATAGTCCACATACGCCAGGCAAAGTGGCAAATTGTACTCTTCAGTCTTCTGTACAATCTGCCGCAGGGTATGTATGTGGTCTATGGTACTGAAGCCTTTTCGGAAACCGGCTTGTTCGGGAGGCTGGAAGTCGTCGAGTCTGCGTGCGAGACGATTCGTAATGACTCTCGAAAACAGCACGTAGACGCGGCTCAGAAGGGAAATCGGTCTGTAGTTCTTCAAGAGAGCGTTGTCGCCTTTCTTAAAGAACAAGACCACCGCACTTCTGCTCCACGCCTCTGGCACTACTCTAAGTGTATGCATGTATGCATGTATATATATATACATACATACATAACATAAACACTCACGCCTGTCACCCAGAGGGGTAGGCAGAGACTACAGATTTCCATTTGGCACGATCCTGACACACCTCTCTCGCCTCCTTCACATCCATACACTTACGCATATATGCCCGTCGGTTAAGGGTACTCCTAATTTGGCCCGTTTCCAATAAATTGCCAATTTGGTCGATAAATTTTCGCCTAGGACGTCCCTTTCCGACTCTGCCATTCACTTCTGCAACATAAATTTTCTTTGTCACTCTTTCCTCATTCATTCTTTCCACATGACCAAACCACCGAAGCATTCCTTTCTCAATCCTGGTCACAACATCATCTTGCAAACCACACTCTTCTCTTATTACACAATTTCTTACCCTGTCATTCAGATTCAGCCCTAACATACTCCTTAATGACCGCATTTCTACTGCGTTTATTCTACTCTCGTGCTTCTTCTGCCACACCCAACTTTCACTACCATACGTTAAAGTAGGAACTAACACAGCATTGTGAATTGCCATACGTGCCTTTTTCGACACATTTTACTCTTCACAATAGAGTGCAGGGCCGCATTTACTCTATTTCCCGCATTCACTCGTCGTTCTATATCCTTATCGTATCTCCCATCCCTGCTAAATACGCAGCCCAAATATACAAACTCATCTACTTGCTCGATCAACTCCCCTTCTATTCTTATTTCACAAATCGTTTTACTTTCTTCTCTTTCAAAAACCATAACCTTCGTCTTACTTGCGTTCACTTTCATACCCCTTTCTTTTAATGATCCGTTCATTAATGTAACCATCATTTGCAACTCGGCCGCCGACGACGCAAGAATGACTTGATCATCGGTGTACAAAAGGCATTTGACGGTTAACTCACCCATTCTTAATCCGCATTCTTCAACTTTCAAATTTTGCAAACAACTGTCCATAAATAGGTTGGACAGCCACGGGGAAGCCACACAGCCCTGTCTGACACCTTTATGAATGTCAAACCAGTCCGAGTAGACCCCGTTGATCCTAACACAAGCACTAGAGTCCCTATAAAGAGACTCCAATGCCTGTATCAAGCCAGCGCTCAACCCAAATGAGTTCAGTGTTTGCCATAGCAAATCCCTATCCACTCTGTCATAGGCCTTTTCCAAGTCCATGAACGCACAAAAAACCTTTTGGTTTTTGGCCAGAAACTTCTCCGCGATCATGCGCATGGAAAAGACTTGATCTGTACATCCCATTCCCTTTCTAAATCCCGCTTGCACATCCTAAATTTTTCCATCAGTTTCTTGAACATGAACAGGACAAAGGTCACATTTAACGTCACATTACACCTATGCCGGTAGTTGTTGGGCTCGCTACGCTCAGTCATTACTGATTATTGTCTGTTTCCTTGCCTAAATTTAGAACAATATGGTATTTTGATACTGTCCCCGGTTATCAAATAACTACTACCTAATTATGACCTGCTGTCTTAAATTTAGACATAATTTCTTAAATCGATATCAGTATTTTAAATGGTGCGACTGTTCACCTTCCCGTTCTTGTTAAGTTTATCATTTATTAGTCTGTTCTTTTGTTTATCACTTATTAGAACGTAGGGGTGTAACTGTCATTTCATGTTAGTCTCAAGAAACTGTGGCACGTTCGTCGAACACAGGTAATTTCATCAAATAATGTCGTCTGCATGGTGGCATTATTTCTTTATACTATATTGCTAATTGCGAGTAAAATGGGTAATATCTTAGAATCAGTGATAAGTTTTGGGAGAGATTGTTTTCAATGTGTCTTGCCAGTGATAAAATATGGATATGGGTCGTAGTACTTCACAACTGGCCGTATGAAAAAGCTCAAAGTCATTAAGCGCGCTATGGAGAGGAATGTGCTCGGTGATTCTCGGTATGATAGGCTCGAGAGCTAGGATAAGTAGAATTAGAATAACCGACGTCCACAATCAACCAACGGATCGGTAAGATGAAGTGGGAATGGACCGAACATATAGCTCAAAGACAGTCGATGGGGAAGATAGGTTCCCGAGTGGCAGTTTCATACCTGTAAGCTCTGTGTATGTTAGCCCCAACTAGATTGAGTGATAACTTGGTGAAAGATGCAGAACTCGATGAATACCGTCGGCCCAGAACCTTGCTTTGTATTATTTTTGAAGACAGGTCAATATTCAGTCGTGAACTTATGAAATGGTGTAATGATAATGATAAATGATGTACATAC